TCCCAAACTAGGATCTAACTCTACCATTAGAAATTGTGCTGGAGTTCAGCGTATTAAGGCCCCGTTTGGGATTGAGGTGATTTAAAAAAAAAGCCACTGTGAAAAAAAGCTGAGGGTCATTTTTGTGTTTGGTAAACTGAAAAAAAAAGGCTTATTTTGGAAGCTGCTGTGAGAATAAGCTGAAAAATCAAAGGAAAAGCTGAAGCTGCTATTTGCTGCTTTGAAAAAAAGCCTGTTTTTTCAAAGCACACGAAGCTACATTGCTCCTTTAATGAAAAGACACACTATCATCCTGCTTTTTTTTCCAAAAGCACTTTCACAAAAAAGTTTACCAAACACTCTACTGGCTTTATTTCACAGCCGCTTATTCTCACAGCACAGCCGCTTATTCTCACAGCAGCTTTTTTTAAAAGCATAGCAATACCAAACCAGCCAACCATGGAAGCAATTGGCCATGTCCACTATAAGAATTTATTGAGGTTGCTTGGTTATTCAGCTAAAAGAGCTCTTGATATTCATTTGTTAAATCTTTGTATACCTTCGAGTTTCGGTCTTTTGCTAAGTTGTGTTTTTGTCTAATGCTTTAGGTTCATGGTAATAAAGCTGCAATATTTACAATCACCACCTTTTAATTCTTTCCGTTTTTTCAAGTTCTAAGATTAGTACATATTTATGTTTTTTTTTATCTTTCAGATTTATGAATAAGGATCAATAAATAGTTAATTTTTTTTTTATTATTGCAGAGTTATTAAATATACATATTTACCCTTTATATTAAAAAATAATAATAATTTGGGGTTATTGAAATCAGTGATGGAAAATCTGCCAAAGTCTGAGAAAATTGAAGATTTCAGTATTCAAATTCTAGGTTATCTTAGACTTTATGGTTGTACATTCTACAACAACTATATATGAGTTTTTATTTTCAATTTGTGTTCATTTGAACGAAACCGTAACAGTTTGGTTTAGCAGCTTATAAATATGTCCAATGCCATATTATTTTCAAAACTTCCATTTTACAAAACGCATGCATTATGGAGGGGAGGAACTTGAGATGAAGCTTACAGGCACGCCCTACCAAGAAAAATCAGAGGTTAGATAATTCCAATTTTATCCAAATTTTGAAAACAGAATTCAATTTCTTTGAGTAGACACTAATTTCTAATTTTCCATTTCCTATTTTTCGTTAATTTATTTGGGTGTCCAAAATTAACTTGAGCTATGGTTGAAGATCTTAGCAATGGACGGTCTTTGGAGATTCTCATTAATCGCTTCAGAAATGAGTGCCCGAATCCCGATTCAAATTGGTTAGATAGCTTTCTTTGTCAGTTTTAGTTGATTGTTCAGATTTTCCTTTTTTTTTTCTCAGCAACCAAACATGTGCCACAAAGTTCTCAAGTTTATGATTGACTACTTATTAATACATTATTACTACGTTTTAATTTTTAAGTAATCGAAATTGTTATGCTCTGAGCAACTATTGTAGCTTCAACTCACCAAAATGGCAAGAGATTCTCACCTTTCGAAGAGCGAGCCATGTGCGTTGATTAGGTAGGATACTAGGATATGTTGTTCTTGCTATGGAACATTATTTTGTTGGTTTCGATGTTGTCTTTCTTTTGATATGCCACTCAATGTTGTGCAAATTCTGTATCACTATTGTCCTAACTGGTTGTGATATCCAATCGTGTAAAATCTTTTTTCATGGTCCATAAAACTCTTTGGTTTTCTTCAAAGACACAAAACTTTTGACATGTTTTAGTTTTAAACCTTGATCTAATATGAGGTAGATTTGTCTTTGATTTGTTAAACCTATGCATGTGTTTGCCTCATCTGGATTAACAGAAGAAACAAAATAATATTTCCCTAACAAATTGTTGGTAATTTACAGGTTTCATGACTAATACTACAAGTTCTACTTCAAGATCAGCATACGCACATTTGCAAATACCAAGATCATTATTTATCTGTGAGTACATCTAATTTATAAATGCATACAATCACTGGCTTGGCTTTGCTAATTGAATTTCTATCATAAACTTCAACATTTTCGTTTCTTTTTCTCATTGAATTTAGCATAACACCATATTTTTTTAATTCCAAAGAGAGATAATAAACCATATTTAATATATAATTTGTTTTGATTGGTTTAGATTGACCTAAAAGAAACTAGGAAAGGAATGATGCACAGTGATATAGAATGCTTAAATTGAAATCTCAGTTTACAACTTTTGCTACCCTAATTGATGGACAGGAATATAACTTTGCGGTAGCACCCTACTAAACAATATTTTTTCCTATGTTTTATCCAGCTTTTATCTAATATACATTTATCTTTTTCAATCTTTGTTATACATTTAAGATGCTGAAACAAAGCAAACGCACAAAAGTTTGATAAGGTGCTATAAAATTGCCGGAAAAAGGTCATCTCCAATTCATGCAAAGCCGCATTCCTTTCCATGCATAAAAACACTAGGTAACCATACTTTATCCTTATTTTGTTTATGATGTAATTCTATTGTCATATAAATTTATTTCATATTTTTCAATTTTTTTCCCTTGCCTAGGATGCTTCCTTGACAATCAACACTACCAGAGGAAAACTTATAGTGGTGCAGTATAAGCAACTTTTGTCATATTTTTGTTATTCTGAAAACTTCCCAACATTTTCAATATAAGTAGTTTTAATCTTCTATGGTGTAGTCTTTACATCTTTGAAACATGATTTTTCTTACAATTTTTAATCCCACAGCAACGCGCATGCAAAACTTTCTAGTGATAACTACAAATTGGTTAACTCTTGGCTTAACTTAGTATGCAATTCTCACATAGATTAGACCTGGTCAGGCAAACTTTCTTGCTAGTCGGGCTAATTTGCATGCTTCTGAAGTGCTTTAAAAAAAAATTCTTAAAGAAAATGGATACTACAGGCAATGTAGCAAAGCTTTAAACATAAATACAAGTACAAAGAAACTGGATTACAAAAGAAATTTAAATAAAAAAAAAAAGGTAAGCTTGCAAAGCTTTAAAGTTTTTTTGTTTTATTAGTTGAGTGTCATTTTTTTCATTCTTTTATGATGCTTTATAAAAAACAAACATTCTTCTTGTTTAAGCCTTTTACTCTCAGAATAATTCTTTCTACTTCCGGTTGTTGATGTGACTACTGATAAAAAATAAGAATTTACATTACTTGAGCTTTCATCCTCTCAAAACTATCAAAATGCCATCATAAAGTAGCTTTTTATAGGTAAAAACCGATTGGATTAAACGTACAATGTGAAAGAAGGTTTGCCACCGACAATGCCACATATAAAGCACTTTAGAAATCTTTGGACGTGTGCACTGTTCATCTCTGTAAAAATAAATACGCATCGCTCATTTTAGGTGAAAATAAAAGACTTGGCCCTTGACAGTCCCAATATTTATTTAACAGTAAAAGCCTAAATTGTTATCCATAACTTACCTAGATTTGACTTGTCATCTAGTGTTTCTTGTAAATTTAACTTTCAATCATGCCCCAATTTTCATAGATTCAAATATATACATACGTTATGCACGATCTTGCTATATAAATACTGGCAAGAAATTTCATAACCAGTTTCAAAGCCGGTGTTCAATATTGATTAATGAACATAAACAATCTTCTCATTCATACGAATGCAGGCAGCCTCCATTGGCAAGAAATTTCATAACCAGTTTCAAAGCTGAATTTCATAACCAGTTTCAAAGCCGATGTTCAATATTGATTAATGAACATAAACAATCTTCTCATTCATACGAATGCAGGTAGCCTCCATGGCGTGCAAATCTAATTGATTTGGCACACAGATTGTACGGACATCTTGGATTTTGTGCTGGGACTTCATATATTCTTCCAGCTGCTGAATTGTTTCTGGATTTGGGAATTGTTAAGAGGATCTATCGCCCTTATCTTTGTAGGTATTTCTGGAGGAAAGACTCTTCCGGCCTCCACGCGCTGCTGTTATGGCACCTCGTGCCTGCTTGTTTAAGCACTTTATCAGCTCAGCATCAGTCATTTTCGGTGTCATTATCTCCCTCCTGCGGAAGCAAAACCCATACCATTGGAGTGTAGCGTACAAAAACGAGCAGAAGGGTCTCAAACAATAGATAAAGTCCCTTGTTATATGTCCTCATCCTGTAGACACCAAACCTAAGGACCTTACTCCCACGGTAACCTTAGTACAGACCACTCCACATATAACCCCAGGAACACAAGGGAAGACAACTGCTATTAGCCTATTACAACTGCAATAAGGTATGGATCCACAAGATCTTTACGCATGAGGTCGTAAACATAAGCTACCTAACATCTGCTACGCCATGATAGACAGCACACTACCAGGCCTAGATAGATCCTAACTTCAAGTCCATGTAGGAAGCACAATATAAAAACAATTTCAAGACCTACCTTGTCACTCACATCTTCACATTCAGGTTTATTGCTTGGGCCTGCTTCACAGTTTCTTAGACCGTCATCCACTCCTTTCTCTTCATGATTTAAATTTGAAGTCTGATCCTGATATATTGCAAAATTGTAAGTACGAACTTGCAAATGCAATGCATGATGCAAGAATGCATCTCCAAGTAAACAAGGACTGCATAAACAAAGAACCCTTTTTTTGGTCGAAGTGAATTTGTCAGAATGCCTCTCCAAGTAAGATAAGATTATACAAGACAGACTGTAAGAGTCATTTTTATCACAAGCCGTTCATTATTATTATACGAACACAAGAACTTTCCAATTTACTCTGCAAATATCAGTGATGATTTCACTAATCTTCATTTTGTACATAAATAATCACTTTCAACCTCAGATTGTTGCTCAGACGCTTCCATTTCTTCATGACATGACAACAAGTAAACGATGTACCTGATCTAGACACTTCCATTTCTTCATGACATGACAGCAAGTAAACAATGTACCTGATCTAGCAAACGCAATGAATCAACACCCTCTATGTTCGTTTCATTTAACACAGAGGTGTGTGTCATCTTCAGTTTCTTCATCACAAGAACTAGCATCCCTATCAAAACCTCCTTCAATGAACTGCATGTAACAACATGATATTGAGAACATTATAACATACAAAAAAAGCCAAAGTGAACAAATATTGGACTCACAGATGTCTTGCATATGATTGAAAAAGAATTTTTGGTTAAATGAAATTGATCACAAATAATTGGACAAGGCATACTGTAACCACAACATGCAATATACACTTGATAGCCCAGGGAAGTGTTTTTTACAGAAGGGTGGAACATACTATATGCAAAAGTAAAGAAATTTAAATGGGTGTATCATGTAGGCTCCACAAGTATACATCAAGCATGTAGCATGAATCTACCATGCTTCACAACGATACGATACCTTCTCAATGTGCTCCTGATCCTTCCTAGTAAACCCACTGGCAGCAAGTTCCTTGTCCAGAAAAAGGGGCATCCTTGGCTATTGAAGAAAAAGAAGGCCTTCCGCCTTCATCTGTGTCTACCTCTGTATCTGTTCCATCACATCATCTCTGCATTCTTGAAAAGTCATGTTGAACCTGAGAGAAAGAAAGAATTAACAAACTAGAGGGGACCTTTATCCCCAACCTTTTTTCTTCCCATAACCTCAGGAGTCAGGAGTTACAGAGGATACATAGCCAACACCATAGACTAATGACCTTAAAAGAGAGATGAAATCGGAGGAGTCAACAAAGAAGCAGAATTGGTAGTTGAACATAGCCTATGTGTTATTGTTCAGTGTATTGCTTCTAAATTAACTGTATGTTATTAAGAAGATGGTGCCAATTGCCAAATATCGCCTGGAAGCACTCCTCCTGTCAACCCACCATGTGCATTACATTTAGAAGAGTCGCGATGCAAGAGCAAGCTTGAGCAGTTCTTCTTGGGATAATAAGACCCATCTACAAAAGAAATGTCAAATTATTATAACCATTAAAATTTGTATTTTTTCAACTGAATTATTAAATGTTATTTTCTTATTAATATAGAACTTTAAATGATTGTATTTATTAAAAAAACCGTTGAAACAAAATTTTTATTGGTTAAAATGTTAGTGGAATAAGTAATCCACCATTAAAATTAAAGGAAAACTAACGAAAAGTAAAAAAAAAACTTCTCTTTTAACGAAAAGTATTTTTTAAATGTATAATGAATAGTGCCAGTTAAAGGTAAAAATGTGGTTTTTCATTAAAAGTGAACAGTACCGAGAGTGTTTTGTTAAAACTCCCTAAAATTAATTAAAAATAAGTTTGATGTTAATGTTAAATTTGACTCCTAATCACAAAAGCTTCAAATCTAGTCAGCAAATAACACTTCGGTTGGAAGAATTTTTATGTCAAATATGCACAATAACATTTTCAACTAGGATTTGACATTTCCATTGAAAATGTTCTAAGGAATCTAAATCACTAGTTGGTCAGTGCATCTATGGAGCGTTCAGAGATAAACCGATCTTATTACCATTTTTTTACATAATTTTTCTGTTTTTTTTTGGATTAGGATTCTCTCCCCTCCTCTTTCCATCCCCTTCCATCCCCTCCTCTCATATTCTTTTATTTTGTTTTTCTCTTGCTATAAAAAAATAATATAAGATGTTGACGCGGCTTAACTGTGACCGTTCGATTAAGGGGAGGGAAAAAAAGAGGGGAGAGAATCCTACTTTTTTTTTTATCATTTTAATTTTGTTGTCTTTTCAATTTCTGAGTTACAAGTGCTCATTAAACCGGAATAGGATCCTCCTTGGATTCTCTTTGTGGGGATTCGTATGATCAATCAATCGTGTCCATTCATCATACATTGTGTGACCAGTTTTCATTAGATACTATTTATATTCAATTTAAAATTTAAAATAATTTCTAACCGTACGATGTACGATGAACGAACATGATTGATTGATCTCTGAATCCCTACAAAGAGGATCCTTGTCTCATTAAACCAGAAAGGGATCCGAGAGGATCCCTTTCACCTAATCCTCCTCATCAAACAATCCGGACCCTTGAAATTTGATCCAACGGCTAAAAATATAGGCCCACTTTAACAGTTATAATAACTTTAGTTGTTGGATCAAATTTCAAATGTCCAAATTGTTTAATAAAGATGATTAGGTTCTAGAGATGATCTCTTTCCCATTAAACCCACTTCTGGTGTGACAGATTTGGACCTTTTTTATGAAATAAATTATCAGAGTTTTCTCTCTCTATCATGCCTCTATTGTGAGATTGACAGTTTTTGTTTTCTAGTTCAACAGTTTTGTAGCCTTGTAAGATTAGTACTAGAATAGGCTCTTTCGGATTTTCAGCTCTCTCCTCACAGAAAGAGAGTGGACTCTATATTTCATTTCTCATTTGACTTTAATTCGTTCTGCATCATAAAATGTGTGGCACAAGGCTGGGCTTATATCGCTGGGGTATTTGGACAGGCTTGGCATGGCCCACTAACTGCCCTCTTGAATTTGGACCGTTGGAGCCCCTTTTTGAGGTTGAGGGGCTAAAAAGAGCCTTGCCCTTGCCCTAAAGCATGGTTTACCAGTACCAGTCCACCAGAAGCCTTTCCCAAGGGGCAAAGATTAGAACCAAATCCACCCCACACATCATTAACTTGAAAGAAATAGTTCTCTGACAAGTTATCATTTTGTTTACATGCTTTCCACGCATGCTTGCAACCTGAAAATACATTGAACCAACACAAGGGCATGGCCGAAATCTAGACATATAGTTTTCATTTGAAACGACGTTTGAAACTTGAACTACATTTAAATGACTATATATAACATATCAAGTCTATGACTAAAAATGAGTTATAACTCATAGAATCCTCCACAGTATGAGGATTACCATCGCCACGGGTAAGGTAACTTAAGCAGCTCAGTGTATTTGGAACAAAGCACAATTATCACTACAAGCACCACATGAAGCTTTGCTATTCATTCTTCTGCAGCACTAGCAGCACTTAGGTCCACACTGAGGTCAAGAACCTGCTCAAACATTCCAGGAAATTTGGTGAAACCTTAAATGAAAGACATGGTTCTATGAAACAGTAAACAGAAACAAAGGCAAGTTAGTTAATCAAGGAAATGTCCATCGACTTTAAGGACGACATGAAATCGAAAACAACAGAACCAAACTAATTGGGCGATGCATAAAATTGTATTTCTTACCTTCCCTGTTATCAAGGTGTACATGTTGAGTACATCCAAGACGGTGGACTCAAAGTGTGTTGTGGCATCATAACTCTGTTAAACATAAGAAGAAGCCTTTTGTCAAGTGCGCATAAATTATATTGAAGAGTGCCCAGTACAGGTCAATGCTTGAATAAGACTTACGGTTGATATAAAGCAATTGTCCAAAGCGGGTTCATTAACAGGCTCATATCTGTCATAAGTCTCAAAAAAAATCTCGTCAACAGGCCCTAAAAGGTCAATCCCTGGCTTTAGCTCAGTCTCGGGATGATCAGTCTCTGCATCTGTTGATACAAATGCAATAAATTTTCCCTTTGGAGCAACATTGTGAGAGTAGGAGCAACAGAAAAGATACCTGTTCAGTCAATAAAGCACCAAAGAATTGGCCTCCAGTAATAAGAAAATACAACAAAAAAGAAACAGGGATAACTCGGGATGAATAAATATCCACCAACAAGCTATTGGTTCAAAGTATACACGAGTTCCCCAGAGGCCTGCTCTAAATACCACTGTCTTCTCCTTTTGGTAGTAGTTTGGGGTCGAAATGATAGTAGGATAATATTTATATGCATCAAGCAAGTGTTACCACAAAACCCTTCCAACAGTTATAGAATAATATAACTTATTATACCCTCCACCCGATATAACATTGCAATTGCATATCCAATTACACAACAGAATTTAAAAATTGTGGTTAGACATTGTATGCATATAAACTATACCATTCCTTTCTTCCTATTAAAGAAAACCCATTTCCTTGCCATAGCATAAAAACAACCTAGTCATGGGATTGTTTTTTCTAAAGCAACAGTTACAAAGGATCTTCTTAAATATGCACACGGCATTCATTGCAAAATAAATATTGGTCCCAAACAAAAGATAAGAGAACTCACATATCTGATCTGCGACCCAACTGCTTCTGTGGCAGGATAACCTGCACTGAGTGAGACTCATTGGTGTTTGGAATTGGGTGGCTCATGATGGCAATAGCTCTTGCAACCTTACCAACCTTCCTAACCTGTCAAAATGCATAAATTTTCAGTAAGTGTTTGGGAATAAGCATTTTTCTTCACCCTTCAAGCAAGATACAGAAGAACAGAGAAGATATTGTGTCCCTTGCAGACCTATAAATAAAAACGACCATATGCGTACTTGTAAGGCACAAGATGAACAGAAAACTAATATTAACATCCCACCACCTTTAAATACTTTACTCATAAAGGTTTACCTTGTTAGGCAAGTAAGAAGGATCACAGACAACTTTTTTGCACTTAGCAGTTTCCCCTTCAGATGTGACACCGATAACTTTCCCTTCCTCGTTGAACTCTACCTGGCATCATGCATCAAACTCAGTGTCTAGACAGGAATTAAACACAAACTAATGCAAAATGAAAGAGTGTTAAAACCAAGAAAAATGTGTAAGGATTACCTTGCACTCAGGCTTATTCAACATATAAGTCCCACCATAAACTGCACTAAGTCGTGCAAATGCCTAAATGAAGCACCCCAAACAAAATTGAATATCTTTACCAACTTTGAGATGAAATACAATACTGTAATTAAATAGAGAGAAAGATACCTGGGGAAGCTCTCCTAATCCATACAGAGGATATATGTATGGTGATCCTCCTTGAAAACGTGCAAATGACTCCGCATAAAGCTATGACACAACCACGTGTTAAACTCAATTACAAAAATGAACATTAATACATGAGAATTTAAAAACAAGACATAAAAATATCATCTATGAACCTCGACCAGTATTTACCTTCATTCTCTTCACGGTATCTAGAGCAGGCTCATTCAGGTAGCGATCATCCCTATGAAGTGCCAAAGCATGCCCAATGAAGTCAACAGTGTTGTCATCGAGACCATATTTTCTGTCAAAACATCAACCACACAAAAATATAAACAAATGTTCTTGGATTGTTACTTTATCAAAATAAGACCACCTTTCTTTTCTACAAGGAACCCTATACAATAGAAAACAGAGACACGGCATTGGTACCAATGAGACTGTAAAGACCGCAAGTTATGATTCTTCTTAGAATAATTATAGAGTTCATTTGCAAAAAGGTTATTGCCCTAGCACTTACGCGATCAAATCTCTAGTTGTCACTCTTGTTAAGTCCATTCCCTCATGTGTTTTAGGATCAGTTTCACTATAATCTTGAACATATAGGATGAACTTGCGTGCACGGCGCTTTTCAAACAGACCCATGAGTGGAGATTTAAGGGCCTCCATGTCAGTTGCTGGAACCTTGTGAACCTGTTGCAACAATTGAGATCCCACCCATAAGTTTTAAGATGAAATTTATACAGGACAGTGTGTGAGTGTCTTTGTGAGTGTAGTTACTAAATGCAGTTTTCCAAAGAGTTAGCAGAACTACCTTTCCTTTATTATAGACAAAACTACCATCCACAGCTTTGAAGTACAAATACTTGGTGACATCTGTGTGAATGAGGACACGCACTAGAGTGCCATTGGCCATCATAAACTAGACAAGGAAAAATACAACAAATTAGGAAAACATGAAAACAAATATTTAAAAGAAAAACAAACAAAATAATAATGGGCCAAAAACAATGCAAAAATTAAGGAAACACACAAACATACCTTAGGGACCATGTCCACGTTATAATCCCTACTAGATCCCAAATGTGCAGGGGGCTTATCATCTCCCCTGAACCTCTTCCATAGCTGCAAGTTAATGATAATTTAAAGATCAAAATTAATAATAGAGTATAAAGTTTGAGAGACCGACCGAGTGGGCACGAGAAGATTGGGGGGGGGGGGGGGGGGGGGGGGGGGGAGAGAGAGAGAGACAGTGCAACATAAGTACAGATGTGATACTTCATCGGAGGCTTTCAAGTAGACGGCAGAAGGGGACCTGGACAAGATTAAGTGATGCACACTCTCCACCATAATAATCGTTCCGATCCATGTGCAGAACCTGGTTCACAGAATACAAGTATCAACAATAAAAGTACCCAAGTGTTTTGATCAACATTCTGTCATATTCAACGGAAAATAAAGAAATGATAAATATACAAAGCATTGGTTTTAAATGATAGCAATCATGTCATACACTTGATAATAATGTAGTCGCTAAGCAATCAGATGAAATTCCAAGTTCCAAGTTTCAAACGCAGCCACCAAACCTATTACTAATCAGATGAATATTCATCATTACAAGTAAGATTATTATTTTTTTTTTTAACTTTCCTTTTTGTTATGGTCTAATAAGATTGATAGTAGGTTGAAGGTTAAGGAGCGTGAGCGTTGGATTCATGTGTTGAGATCAAAATCAGTTGATGCATTTAGATTACATGAAATATCAAATATAACATCCAATGAAAATAGAAAAGAAGGCGAAGGTGGTTTGAAACATTGAAGCTACATCCCTCCGGTTCCAACTGCAAATAGATCCCGTCGGCCCAATTGGCAAATCAATCACCCATACAAATCAAACGAAATGAAATCACAGAGGAAATGTACAGAAAAAAAGTCCATTGGTGATGAGATTTGATGTTGAAATTGAAAAGGTCAGGAGAGAAGAAATAGTAGAAAGAGTAGGGGGGAGTGGAGAGTGGTGGAATAAGAGACCTTGAGGCCGTCGACGGAGAGAAGACCGCTGAGGATGCATTCTTTCAGACCCGTTCCCAACACTATGACGTCATACTCTTCGTCCATTTCCTCCTCGCTCAGTCGCTCCTCCTATCCTATCCTATGATCTCAACGCAACGGATCAGACTTCTCACACAATTCTAGGGTTTTAGTCACAACGCTCCTCACTGTCTCACGCATGTCTATCTATGTCTCTGAACTGCACTAACTAATATATTACCCCTGCTACTTTTCTTTTCTTTATTTATTTTATTTATTTTTCTTTTTGGTCTGATTGCTATATTCTACAGCCTACAAGATGGATACTTGTGTGTCAACTAGGAAAAGCTTAAAGACTTTTTTATTCTCTATATTTTGGATGAGTTTTTATCATTAATACCTAAAACTTAATTTTTTCTTATAAAAAATTTCATATATAGCAAAAATGTACTTGAATAGTCTCAAATATCCTCAAAACATAAGTTTAATTACATTATTTTTGTGGGTTGATGCTCGAACTTGGTGGTCTGTAAATTTGTGCTCTAAATAGAGATTTATAAACTGGTGAAACACCATGAATAGTTCTTAATAAGACAAACCTAATTATTTGAGGAGAATGAAATTAAAATATTAGGAATTTATGATATATCCTCTAGTAGTTGTAAGAATAGGGTTTAGAAAATGGGAATGCAGTGATTATGACTTTAATTACTTTGAAATGATGGTCAACGAATGCTCATGAATACTTTATAATATCATTACAATTACAAATATCATCATTTATTTCCTTAACTAACACATCTACACTTAAATGGACTTCCATTTAAAACTTTTCAAATTGAAATGTGAGGGATCAAAATAATAAATTAGAGAAACTTTGGGGAACATTTGTCATGAAAACTGAAAAAAAAAAAAATCCTTGTGATAATTTTGTAGACAAATAAATTAAAAAGAAAAGGAAAAAAAGAGAGGAAAATGAATAAATATGACGGGTTTGCTCTGTGGTGAGTCTTTCTCTCCCACACCACAATTAATCAGAGGTTTGCTATATCTATATTTCATGTATTTTTCTAGTTTTGCTCCACTCTTTATTTTGGTTGTTACTATTTATGCACTCATTTTCCATTTTATTACTCCATTTCCTTTATTTTCTCATTTCCCTAACGAATTCTTTTCAGTTTTTATAAATTTGTTAAATTGTTGATGAAAAGATTGTGGGTGGTGCTGTAGGTTGGTTCTCTTCTCGATCCTTGATTCTATTGCCGGAATCCCTTTTATATACGCTGAAAGGAAGGAAGGAGGGGGTTCCATAATTCCAGTCTAGGGTTTTCCAGTGTTATGTAATTGCGACTGAGGTCTTCTCTGATATTTGATATTTGACTGGTATGTATGGTTGCTAGATTTGAACTTGTCTCTCTCGTTTGCTTGTTTTGGATTGCCTTTTCCCACCAACATGCGTAGGAATTTGAGAATTGAGGGCTGGTTTAAATTTCGCTGCCTGTTGCCTGTTGGAGATGGGGACTTTACTTTTTGATTCGTTTGCATAACTCCGAGCGGAGCAGTCATCCAAGGCGGAGGAGAAACAAAAAAAGATAAAAGGCAATTTTGTAACCCGTTCGTGCATTAATCATTTGGTTTTGTTGGAACAGGAATCCCACTGGCGAGCAATCGGTTTCTTCCGCGATTTGTAGTTGCTACTTTAAGCTGTTTGATGGTGCTGTTTGGGCGATATATGTGATTATCTTATCTGGTTGGAGATTTTTTCCCCCTTTAATCTTATTTTTTGAATTACGGAAAGTAGGGGAGAAGGTGGGGATAGCATTGTCTATATAAAAGGTGAGGATGGAAAAGGGGATAACACCTCTTGAGGGTAATGATGGTTGGATTGTGGTGAATGAGACTAATTCCGAAGACCCCATATATATCGAAATGGAAACTGAGGAGTATGTGATTGATAGTCCGAAGAATGGCATTCAAGGTTTTGCAGCGGACAAAGGAGAGGGAAGTAATGTGGTATCCTCTAGAGAAGGACCTCTTGTCAGGAAGGAGTCGGGAATGCCCACTAGTTGTAGTTGCAGTGCCAAGAAACTCAAATCTCAGGTGGATGCGGCAGACCCCAACCCGGAGAGGAAGGATAAAGTTGGGCAAGAGAAGAAGCTCAGTAGACAAGATAGGATTGAATTGGGCCGCATGTTTCAGGGTGCAGTGAGTTCCCATGATTGGGAAGTTGCTGAGAGGTTGATCCTGGTGGCTGATCCGCAAACCCTGAATGATGCTTTGTGCATGACTTTGGATTCAATATGGTTCTTGAGCACTCACGAAGAGCTTTATGGGATAACGGGATTGATTAAGAAGATCATTATCAATGGTGCATATGACTTCACGAGAGCTGCCTTGCGCACTTCATTTCTTGCTTCGTGTGTTTCTGCTTGTCAGAGTCGAACAATGAGTCTTGCTGATACAGTCACAGTAATGGCCCAAAGGTACGGTCAAGCTGTGTATTTCCTGATAACTTAACAATTTTATAGCGATAAATTGTATGGGTGTGTGTAAATGGGTCCATAAAGTCTACTGAAGTCTTCTCCAGAATGGAAAATGAAGACTTTTAAATTAAAGGGGCGGAGTAGGCAGAATAGGATGCATTATCTATCTTACAAAGTAGAATAAGATTAAACTAGTTCCTTAATGAATGTGTAAGATAGAATAAAATTAATCTAGTTCCTTAATGATGTCAGCAAGCTCAGGTTGATTTTATGTAGTCTTTCCATGTCAGCTCATAAGCTACCCGGAAATCTTTTCATGAACATACATGTAGAAAACCTGGGTGTTACACGAATTAGAATTAGTCTTTTGGCGACACCCTGGGTAAAATAGAAAGCTTGGTGGGTTTGGAAGTGCCCTACTTGCTACAAGAAAGCTTAAGATGCATCAAATTTCATTCCTTGAAATCCTTGAATGTCCCCTCCTTTTATTTATTTTATTTGAGCTACGAGAGGTCGCACTTGGTGCGATGGCAAGTGCCTTCGCCCATGAGCGGTAGGTCTCAGGTTCGAGACTTGGGAGCATCCTCTCCATAAATGGGGGTAAGGCTAGCCGACATTCACCTCTCCCAGACCCTGCGTAAAGCGGGAGCCTTGTGCACTGGGTACGACATTTTTTATTTGAGCTACGAGAGTGTAGCGTGGTATTGTTTACTGTGGCTTCTAAGCACCTTGCCCGTCTATTTCCTTTTAATCCTGGAATTGATGTGCCATTTGCTTTATTGGTTACCCTTTTTTTTTATAGGTTGCATGAGCGCCTCCGGGAATGCAATGGAGATGAGGTCTTGAAGGCAGAAGCTGCTGCTAAGGTTCAAAAGTTTACTGAATGGGCTCTGAAATGTATAGGCTTTCATTCTCGTTCCCAAGGTAGCAAGGATAGAGTTAACAACAGCTCATTGGTTGAGATCCAACTCCAGTTATCAGCATTTAAGGCGTTCATAGATCTTGCTGGTAACCAGCTTTCTGGGAAGGACTTCACCGAGGCCTTTGATGCTGCTTGCTTCCCCCTAACTCTCTTCTCTAGTTCATTCGATTCTGGCTGGGCATCTGGGATATCGGCAACTGCAATTCAAGGTTTGCTGGGTATGTTGGTGGAGGGAGGTGCAGACAATGTCAATCAGTGTTTCCTTGAAGCCTCTCGTTTTGGGAGTACTGAGCTTGTGCGCATCTTATTGCAGGTGACTTCAATACGTTTGTACATCATGTTAATGTTTAGTTGCGTTCCTAGCTTTTGCATATCATTTTTCTGTATTTGGTTTATGATCAATGTTCAATACTTAGTTATTTTACTAAACCCTAAATAAGAATTAGGAAGAACAATAGTTATTGTTAGCTCTATGACTATAACCATCATTCTTTTGAATTGTCATTGCAAAGATCTTTTTGTATATTGATATTCAAGTTTCAAGCACATGTTTGTTAGTAGTGCACGTTGTTTTCCACTCTCATGCTTAATAAATGCATTTTTGTCTGTTTAACATTTCCTAAAATTTGAATACCTTCCTTTTTTTATGTTTAAAGTAAATTTACATCATTTCTTATTTTTTACTAATACTTATGTAAATCTGGAATATCAATATTATTGTTGACATTGACGTTTTTCGTTTTATGCTTCTAGTATGCATTCTTGGTTATATGATTTGGTTATGTATACAAACAAGGACAATTTTGAGAAGAGGATCGTGATCCAAGATTTTCTTTCATGATAGATGGTTTGTGTGGCATCTTTGTTCTCATTTTCTTTTGGCATATGGGTTTTGTTTTGTGTTGGTAGATTGCCCAAAGGAACAGTTTGGATGTTGATGTTGACCTGGCTTTGGGTTTTGCTTCTCACTACTGCAAGATTGGTACTATGGAATGTCTTGTGGAAGAGGGCAATGCGATAGCTTTTTTGGGCCCTCTGATGAGAGCTGCTGAGAGGGGCTGTATGCAGGTTGTTGAGTGGTTTGTGAAAAGGGGTTGCCGAGACATGGAGCTCTGCCTTGCTCTCACAGCTGCAACTTCCAGCAGCCAAGTTGACATTGCTGCCTATCTCCTCCCTCATGTTCCTCATCATGTCCTTGCTGCACTAAGCATTGAAATTCTGAAGGCTGCTGGTGAACGAAGTGGTGGTTCTCTTGATGGTGTTGCATTTCTTCTTCATTCCGACTTCTTGGGTGATCCTGCAGCTACTTATGCTGTTGCCAACAGTATTGCTCTGTCTGATGATGAGGGTGTAGCTCCTGAGTTAAAGGCTTTTCTTTGGGGGCACTGGTCAGAGGAAGCCTTCTTGGATGGAATTAGACAAGGACAAGAACATTACATGAACATTGTGAGGATTTTAAAATGGGGTGAATCTCCTATCTGCTTAAGAGATCTTCCAACCCCTCTAGGGATAGCAATCGGTTACCTGCCACTGTATAGGGAGTGTGTGAGGGCGGGTGGCTGTTTGTTGTCACAAAGGCTGAGAGGACAGCTTGTTGAAGCAGTTAGAAGGCTTGGTGGTGGAGTCTTAGAAGGGGCAAGCCAGTGCAAAGAGCTATTGGCTCTTCTGGAGCATCATCTCCCTCCATTTTTTACTTGATCTGCCTAGCTCTGTGCAGCAAGGCGTTGCTCGTATTTGTTCTGGGACTTAGCTTCCATTTGTCCTCGGCTATCTGATAAATATGTAATGGATGATAACAACAGTTTAGAGATGGGGTCAGGTGACAAAGCCAAGGTTTGTCAATTTTCTATCCATCATATGTTGTTACCCTGTAATTTAGTTCATGTACGTGGCGCATATATGTTTCTAAATGTGCATGTTGTTGAGTTGATCTATCATTTAAGACAAAGAAACTATTGTCAAAATCTGATGCACCTGTCGTATATTAGATTTGGCTATCTGATATGAGTTCTAGACACTTCCATTCCAGTTGTACTTTTAATTCGTTTGCCATGTATCGTATGGTTGTTTTTTTAGGGGGGGGGGGTTAACTTTTATTTCTTTTTTTGTATGCTGCCCTTAATGTGTTTGAATGTAGAAAAGTAATTTGTCAAAGACGGCTCCGAGTTCAAAATGGAATGGAATGCCGCTGCACCTTGACGACCGGACTGGATGAAGTGGTACTCATGCCATCAGCAGCTGCGGCCCCTTTTTTTCTTTGCCACCTTTCTTTCGTGTGCATGTAGGAGCCAGCCAGCGGGCCACCGACCAAAACATGGAATTGAATAGAATTGGGAGTCTTATATTTCCCTTGCCTTTATTATTTATTGAAACTAATTCAAGCCCAACTGAAAAGTAACGATGTGATATTCCACATGGGGTATTTTATTTGACCGCGAGTCGGCAGTGGAATTATTCCTGAAACAAATAAGGACCTTTGATGTATTCTACAGTTGATTTATTGGCATATTTTCGAGAAGGAAGGGATTGGAGAACTTGAAACGCGGTTCTCTGGCGTGAAAGATTTTGACAAGAATAATACAGCATACAAAATCATAATTACTTTTGGTCGGGATAGTTATTTTTCAGAGCAACTATATGGACAAGTCCTAGCCATCCAGGGTGTGTTTGTTGCATCAGATTATTTTGAACTGGATTAGCTTCAGGAACTAAGTTGGACTAGTTTAGCTTTGACTAAGTGGGATAAAATTAATGAAGTGTTTTATGCAATGCCAAACAAGTCTGGACTAAAATATTTTGCTATTTTTTATTCACTTTTACCATTTTTAATCCACTATTGCCATTTTTTTTTAATTCATTCCATCATCATCTAGTCATTCTTCTTACGATATTTTAACCCACTTTTGCCAGTTTTATTCCATTCCATTATCCTCTGGTCTTCTTCTTCAATGATACAACTGCAAGCACTCCATCCAACATCCTATCTCTCTCAAAAGCTCAAATCATCTTTATTGTGAAAAACCCATATCAAAATTCTTCATTTTTGTAGCCGGATTTAGAGAAATGCCAAGGATCTTGTGTCGGAGTTAGTGTAAAGGTTGATTTGGGCGACGAGGTTGATTTGGGCAACTTGGTTGATCTAGGTTTTGAACTGGGTTTTTGCAATTAATTCGAGCATCTTGGATGCTGATATCGAAGCTTCTGGGGACAACCGGCATGAATTTATGAGGTAATCGATGATGAAAATTTGTTGGCTTTCTAGGATTTTTGAGGTCCTTGGTCGGTTAAAGCATTTCTGATGCTGCTGGCATCTTTGAGATGTAGATTCATGTGGGTTGGTGTTGGGTTGGTTTTCTGGGTATCTTTGAGAGATGCATGTTAGTTTCAGATGAGGTGCCAAGCAGACAACAGATGAGGGCGTGAGGTCCTCGCTAGTCCACCACTTTTCAAGGGGTCTCGCTAAGACCTCCCAGTGAAGCATTTAGACTTAGGGCTGTTTTGGTATTAGACTTAGGGCTGTTTTGGTATTTCTGTACTTTGAAAAAAAACTGTGAGAATAAACGGATGTGATGTGAGAATAAGCGATTGTGAAATAAATCAGCAGAGTGTTTGATAATCATTTTTGTAAAAGTACTTTTGGAAAAAAAATTCTGATAGTGGGTCTCTTCATTAAAGGAGTATTGTAGCCTGGTGTGTTTTAAAAAAACCCAGTTTTCCAAAGCTGCAAATAGCAGCTTCAGCTTTTTCCTTTAATTTCAGTTTATTCTCACAGTAGCTTCCAAAATAAGCTTTTTTTTTTAAATTTACTAAACACTTAAAACTCTTACAACTTTTTTTCATGAGTGTTTTTTTTTTTCTAAACACCTCACTTCCAAACCATCCCTTAGTCTCATTAAATTGAGTCCTGGTGCACAACAAACACAAACTAACATTCTTAGCTAAACCAAGCCAGTCCGGTGAAACTTAGGAAAACCAAACAAACACACCCCTAGGATGGATCTAAGATGTGATTCCATGAAATGAAATGCGCAATGTTACATGTATCTATAGGGCTAGGCATTTAATAAAACAAAATAAACCGGTTGAACTGCCCAACCCGCACCGGCGACTTAGTTTAGTTTGGGCTCTTTTTTTAGTTTTTAGTTTTCGGTTGTTAAACCAAACCGGATCGACTTAATTGGTTTGACAATCGGTTTCAAAATTCTTAAGGTGCAGTTAGCCGAACCGATTTGCATATGTTTAATTAATTTTTTTATTCATAATTAGTTTAAGAGTCTCATTGGAGAAAAGCAGATGCTTTGGAGAAGGCAGCAGATGCTTTGGTGCTCTCCTTGGGTTGCTTCATTTATGCTTTCTTTGAGCAATCACTCATATTAGTGCTATTTTATGTAACTTTTAGGAGAAAAACTTGGTTTTCACACAAATCAAGAACCGATCCAAACCAACCATCCATTGTCGATTAATCGACCTGATCAATTTTAAACACAGGTTTTGTTGGTTTTGGTTTACAATTTTGGCCCAACCGACTATGTCGGTTTGGTTTCGGTTTTGGTCCATAACCGACCCAAACCAACCCATGCCCTCCCCTAGTAACCGACATTCATAGACAATCTTCCGTATGTAATGCATGACGCTTAGAGTTGTCTTTGTTCTTCACTTGCGTTGAGTGTCTGGTTAAAGAAGGGGACAAAGAAATAAAAACAAAAGAGTGTTGTTTCTTGTATTGAACATTTTAGTAGTACAAAAATTGTATGATAAAAGTTAACATCTTAAGTGTCGTGGAGACAACGCAACGCAAGCATTCATTCATTTTACTTTGCTAGACGTATGTATAAGTCAAATCCCTCACATTAGACGGCATGAAAGCCAAGATCATAAGCACGGCTAAAATGCCAATGGGAAGCAACAGCAGCATCAAAGGCGGGGGAGGTAGTGGCGGAAGTACCAAAGGAAGGATCAGCAGAGTCGCTGTGAGGCATACAAGCAAAAGCAACGACTCCAAGCTAAAGTAGCTGGCCGGCAGCAGTCTTCTGCCAGTCCCTCTACCGTGAGATAAGGTTCGCCGGTATTCTGTTGCCTTTCCTTGTCTCTGGATCTGATGATAATACTGCACTTTCTGTCCATGATCCGTTGGGGAGGGCTCTGGCGTATGGGCACCAGAAACTTTTCTAGTTTTAATATCCATAACGCAACTTGTTGAAGAGCGATCCGGCAAATGAATAAAACCCTGTGACAGTACTAGTCTTAGCCGATCTGCTTCAGGAACATCAAAATTCATTTACTGATGCGTTGGTCCCCTCCCCTAGATCAAATCACAGCACAGCACCGCACAGAACAGACGTAATTTTCAGCCTAAAACTCAAAATCTCTCAAAATCCCCAATGCTTGACCAATGCTGGTTTTATACAACTATAGCAACTAGAGGCAATCAATGCGATGGAGAACGTAAGCCACAATTCCCCCGATCTGGTTCGCTCGCTTTGTGCTGTCCTGGGAGGATCTCAACTTGCAAAGTAAGACGCTCAGACTTGGCTTTGAGATACAGCTACAAACGGCAAGAAAGAAAAAGAGAAGAGGATTAGTTGATCTTTCCTTGTTTCCTTCCTTGAAGTCCTTGAATGCAATACAATGCAAAAACACTAACAAAGCAATCAAGAGATAAAATCCAACAGAATAGAGAAGAGAATAATCTAGAATCATAATTTGAAAGGGAAATCAAGAAGACTCAAGAGATGAAGATTTTCACTCCGTCACCCTTCAAAATTAAAATCCATCTTCCATTCCATCCGACAAAGAAAAGTCCCCATAATCGTAATCCATCAAGACTCAAGAGATGATGTTGATATATCAATGTTAACAACTGAATTGCATATACATGAACCACAATTTATATATTTTATTTAAAAAAAAAAAAAAAGAAGAAAAAAAGTGTTCATAAAATGAAATGACTTTAGAGGGGATGAAACAAATAAATCAACGGTAGAAAAGCTGAGGGTATGCCGTGCGGAAACACAAAACCAAATTGAGCACCACAAGGATAAAATTAAGGTTCATATTCATATATACAACACATACATACATACATACCTACCTACCTACCTGTGAATCTTTCTGAAATGATGAGGATGAGGATTCAGCAGCAACAGCAGCAAGGAACAGAGTTGTTGTGCGCTTTTACCATCTCATCAGTTTGAGTTTGAGTGCCTTTCCCTCGCCCTTTTACTTTGAGAAACTAAAACAAGGAGAGAGAGAGAGAGGATGGGTTGGATTGGATTGGATTGGATTGGATTAACAATGTGTTCCAGTGTTGGTGTTAGAATCAAAAGAAAAGGGTTAAGGTGTTAAGGGAACGAAATGAATTTTGATGCACTGCACCTGTATTTCCCTTTCTTGCTGCTGCCCTCTCCTATTTTCCCTTACTAGTAATTTACTTTTTTTTATTAGGTTTCCCAATGTTTGTTTTATGATTATGTTTATGGAGAGAGAGAGAGAGAGAGAGAGAGAGAGAGAGAGAAAGAAGGTTTGGTTCGGTGTATTCGACTGTACACATAGACAAGTGGGGCTCTCTTTGCTGACATGCAAGTTGCAAGTTGCTGGTTGTGGAAAATCAGGACTGTGTTCCCCAAGGTTCTTCACCCCTGGACTCCCCCTCATTAGTCATTTCTCTCTCTTCCTATTATTTATTATTATTTTTCATTTCTTTTTTTTTAGTAATCTTATTTTTCAAGAAGGACAACCCGTAGAGAGGAGGATGGGCTGGGTCCACTCTATCAATTCATTCATTTTCTTTGCAAAATTGCAAATAGCAAATCTGTGGAGGTCAAGTAATGGAATCATTCCATTCCATGTATGGAGAATGCTAGTCTCGAGTCTTGATTACATTTGCAATTGCAATGGGTCCACACAGTGGGCCCCCCATTCCAGTCAATCAGACGGACCACACACATTTCATCTAATTACGCTGCTCCTAATTACTTAATCATCGACCGTCAAAACATGAGAAAAATTCTTTGTACTAGTTTTGATAGTCAGGACTCAAGAAACCAAACCGTCTTAAAAGAAACAAACCATACACAGCCTAAAGCATCCTCAATATTGGACAAGTATCCTTTCGGAGCATTTTTGTGAAAATCTAGAGATTAATTAATCGTGTCCGTTCATCGTACATTATATGGTCAGTTTTCGTTTGATACTATTTATATTTAATTTAAAATTTAAAATGATTTATAACCATACGATGTACGATGAACGAACATAATTGATTGATTCTTTAAATCCCAACAAAGAAGATCCGGAGATAAACCTATTCCCTCAGTATTAATCTCCATCTCTAACTCTAATCCAAACATACAAAAATGACAATACATTGATGCTCATAAATAAATAAATAAATAAGTGGCATCTTATAGGTGTGCGTGTAATCTGACGGAGGAGGAGCCAAAAATTCATCTGGGGCCTTTAAGCAAAATAAAATAAACTAAAAAAAAATAGTTTCAAGTATAATTAATTGGTGAACAATAAAAGGTTCTTTATATTGTTTTCAATTGTCATGGAAAATTTTAATCAAACAAGATTGATGGAGTTTGTATTAAAAATTTAATATTTAGATGATTATACATAAAGAATAGAGCTTGTATACGAGCTTTAATAAAAAAAATTACCACATTAGATTCGAACCAAAATTTAAAGTTATGGCTAGCTCAAAACTATTATTACTATGAGATTTTTCTTTTAACATAATTAGATCTTCCTCTATATTGTATATATCTTGTTTTATATGAACTAAGAAACAAAAATGGCTAGTGTGTGTGTATCAGCTTACATGTGTATTGGGGTACCAAAGTTATATTTTCAGTTTGTCATTACCTTGAGATTACTCAGTAATGACATGATTACAGTTATATTATTAACTTGTCATTACCTTGAGATACTCAGCAATGACATTTTCTCAGCTTGTCATTGCTTAGAGATTACTCATCAATGATATGATTATATTATCCAACTTCCAATAGCTATGGCTAATGGATGATATTGTATGTCATGCCACCCATAAATGTCGGCTCAGTATATATGTACCTATCATTTATCAATGTACACATGATTTAGTAGGCGTATTAGTGATCATTTTCAACGTTAAGGTGTTTTTCAGCAACTTTAACATATTTTACCGAGTATGGTATTTACTCAATATATTAATAGGACATGTTTGGTAATTATGCTGTGAACCCATTCTCATGCATGTGACAGAGGGTCGAAGACCCATTAAGTGTGGCCCTTTGAGGATGTGTTTAAAATAAATGTAATTACTTGTAGGTGTTTTGATTTGAGCTTATCCCTATTTTCGAGGAAGTTCTGCCAATTATGGCTTCATCACCCATCGGGGTGATGCCTAGCATGTCTCGAATTTAGTATCAACTGGACATCGGGGTCAAAATGTGTCACCATCAAGCCGCATCACATGATTCATATCACATATATACATTGACTTCAAGCTGACACTTATGAAATGTCAAGTTAACTTGTGAAATTCCACATATATTTAATATAAAAAAATAGATATTAAAACTTGAAATTTTAACAAAGTTGAAGTTGGAGAACAGTGAATTAGTCACAAGGAAGAAAATGTATTACAATTCATTCTTATTTCTTTCCAATCTATGTATTATAATCTAATCTAATCTAATCCTTAGTCACAAGAAGAAAATGTATTACATTCATTATTATTTCTTTCCAATCTATGTATTATAATCTAATCTAATCCTAAACACTTAAATGAGGTCGCCCATGCTTAAAAGGAAAGTGTGCGTAGTGGTGGTGGGAGATAGATTTGATATGCAGCCAAGGCACAAGCATATATTATGGACGAATCATGATGATGGCATATGGGCATGCATGTGTGATGTGGACCTTCATTACCCAATTCAATGCATCTTTCATCCACCACCATACAATTAATTTTAATTAATCAATGCAATTTGCAAATGCAATGCAACTCTCTCACTCACTGATTGATTCTGTGTCTTCCCATTTCCCATAATCCCATCCCATCACATTCAATACTTGAGAGGAGACTCACCCACTTGAGAGACCACAATTTCTTGAGAAAGAGTGAGAGAGATTTCCTTCCTCGTACACGTAAAAGGAATTGGATCCTCTCCTAAGCTTGGGTTCATGATTCTTTTCATCGATTTGTTGGATCAAAATTCAACGATTACAATTATTATAATTTTTAAAAAAAATTTTGTTTATAACTGTCGGATCAAAATTCAACGGTCCTTGTACGTCGATCATGAGGCTCCTGAGCTCAAGTTCATGAGAGGATCTAATTCCCACGTATAATACAATACAACCCCTTTTTTTGTCCTTACTGCCATGCCCTCCTCTCATTCTTGTCTCTCTCTTTTTTAAAATGTTTGAATGTTGAGAAGATTAGATTATTTGCACTTTCCACGCTCCATCCACTTCCCCAGTCACGCCACCCAGTTTCATTCTCCACCGCACCAGCAGCCGCAGCCCTTTAGGCAAATCAAGGAAACCACACGACCACGACCATTAGAAAAAAAAAAGTCTACAAACCTACAATATTGCATATTGACATTGGTAGGCAAATGCTCCAATTAAAGTTACATATACAACAACAATAACAAAGCTTTTTTCCATTAAGTGGGGTCGGCTATATGAATCCTAAAACGTCATTGCGCTCGATTTTGTATCTCCAATTAAAGTTACATATATAAAAGATTTTTTCAATGCATCAACTCTCAAGAACACAAACCAATACGTAAAATGTTATATTATTTCTTATTTATATTACACGTGATGCACTATTATAAATACATAGTAAATGTACTATTTAATAGTTTAACGAATTATCATTGTTACCATATTTATTAATTCCTTCCAAGTTCCCCTTCCACCAACCTTTGATTTTGATTCAACAAACAACTACAAATATTCAAGTTTTGTTTGTTTCTCTTCCAATGTTTGACTTTGACTCATCATCATACCATCTCAAATCTGAACGTTGATTTGCTACAAACTTGTCTGTATACCAGAATCCAAAATCCAGATTATGATGATGATGATGATGATGATAATGATGCAACCTTGTGAACCAACAATCCATCCATCCACAACATGATCTCAGCCCATTAACCAGCTCTTCAGTCCATTTACACAATAACAATAGTTCGATTCTACTTTTCCACCGCAACTTAAACAGCAACCTTAATAATCATATTATCATACAATCACTGAATGCTCAGACGAGAATCTGCTCAATCGATTCACTTATTTACCCCAAACCGCAAACTGCATTTTTATTAGCTATTACAATAACAACTTTCGCTTCCATGATCCATCCAAGTTCCGACCACAGCAATTATACGGCAACAAATTTCTCCTCAATTCAAAACAGCTTTATACATTACCACCACAAGCTCTGAAGCTAACCTATAATTTATAAATAAATATAATGCCTCAACTTCAAGTGCCTGTTTGTCTATTATTCTCAAACACCAGTACAGATAAACAGACCACGTCAACCACTAGTTTCACTTGCCAACCCAACATCCCTCTCTACTCCTGCAAACACAACATTTCAAATTAGTTACAACCACAAGAAGGCAGTGCATCAAGTTAAAAGTATTGCAACTCGGTTCACCGGAAAACAAACAAAACATCATGATACTTATTTCGCATGAGTTCTATTTGCAACTGCAGGGCATATGATGCTTCCTCAATGGGAAAGTTGCAAACATTATGACTCATAGTTAATATACCCCACACACCATACAAAGAGCCCACTGATAGTTGCACCATATCATATTGATTGTTTACGCATGGGCCATGCTAGTATTAACTATATAACACACAGTCTAATAGTTGATCCTTGTTTCAGGGTTTTGGGTTACATAATGGATCCAAGAGATATCATATTAACTATAAACGATCCACTATTTAATCTAGAAGAATCATGCAGAATGCACACATAGTTTACATACATACACATTACCTCATCGTCGTCGTCGCCATCTTCCTTGTTCTTCTTAAGGCGTGTAGTACCACCCTCCTTGACGATCGGCAACTTCATGGCTCCAAAGGGCGTGTCCACATTGATATTCCCCTTGATGGTGTAGCCAGTACCCTTTTCCCGAATCATATCCCAGAGTGCTGACCCAAAATCCTTAGGCCTGAAGGTAATGGGAACGTTAACATAAGTGACGCCCTTTTTAGCAAGATTGGCAAACTTGGAGAGTTCTGCACCTCCAATGCTGACATCACAGAGCCAAATCTCGTAGTCTAGAACATTGAGGTCTAAGTCAAAGTCATTCATGTTCTCCAGCTTCAAATGAAGGACAGCAACGGTTTCTTCAAAGGAGAAGGTTTGAAACCTTATCTTCTCAACATCGACATCAGGCTTGTAAGGGATGGGGATTTCTCCAGTTTTTTCAAGGGGGATAGTGATTCTGCCGATGACAGGGACATCCACAATGAGGTCGACCTTGACCCTGTATGGAATGTTGCTTCCAGGCTGGATGTCATCGTAGGTGTTCTTGATGTCATCGTATACCAAGTGTACTGGAACTTTCCACGTGGGCATGGATTGTCCCAGCATCAGGGATCAGCCCGGAGACAAGTTTCCTTCCATCACTTTCGATCAAGTAGTTAATATCGATGAGAGGGATGGGAACCGGATTAGGGTTCTTGATGAGCACATCCACCACGATCTCGGCCTTTTCGAGATTGATGCTAGGGATGTGAATGGCAGTAACATCGGCGGTTGGCTTGCCGAATCCAATGGTACCCTCTATCTTCTCCCCAATGTCATGAATGAAATCCTTCACCTTGTCAACAAATCCACCCTCATCCTCCCCCTCCTCCTCCTTGTGATCTTTCTTCACCTTAGCACCCCGATCCACATTTTCTGGCTTACCATCAGACGAATACGATGCCATGGATTCCGCTATAGTATTTATAAGTTTACAACTGATTCCCTTATATGGTTGTTTTCGACAACTTGAAAAGCAGTTACATCAACTCAATTCTCTCTTCTAAGAAAAAGAAGAACATGTCAGATGAGAGATCTAAATAATAATTCTAAAATTCTAGTCTTTGGATGAGATGAGATGAGATCTAAAGGTTAATCATCGAAACACTTACCTGTTACTGTTAGTGAAAGCTCCTCCTCACCTCAACGACACAAACGGCAGGAGACGCAAAGATTTAAAGAAAATTCAATCCAGTATAAGTTGAAGCAGCACAGCAGCGAACTATGTCATATTTTTGGCCCGCTGATCACATTTATGAGTGATACATTATTTAATTTTTAAATTTGATTTAAAAATTTAATCTCCGTAGCATATATACATAAATTAATATTCCGTATGATTTATGAGGAAGCTGAGCGACTTGTACAAGTAGAAGCAGCACAGCAGTGGACTATCTCACACCTAATCTCTGCTTGTAAAATCTTTTTCCTTTACTCTGTTTGGTAATTAATTTGGCCAAAAAAGGTACGTAAATAAACTGAGAGGGGGTAGCTTCCCCACTGATTCTATATACAACTTCAAGCGAGTGCAAAACAGCACTTTTATCTCGCCAACCAAGAACACGTTTGAACGAAAAATAAGTAAATCGCCAGGGCCCAGGCCATCCTCGACAACGCAAGGAAAGAATGAGAATATCCATCCGAATTATAATCTTATATATATAGTTTATGTACAATTTGCATCACACTAATAAAGAAGTGGAGTGAAGGAAGGGAAGGCTAAGCAAATATATTCCAACTTCCTTTATTTATTTATATATCTTTTATTTCATCTGACTAGCTATCTCTCTGTCACTACTGGAGACTGACTGGTGTTGTAACACTAGACAATCAAATGAAATGAAATGAATGAATGAATGATCAGATCAGAGAATGGTGCCATCTGGAATCACTGCACTCGGAAGAAGGACTAGTATTCCGTCACGGATGACATATCCATCACCTTCTCTGTCCGCTTCTTTCGCATTATCTTTATTAATGATCTGCATCAAACACACACCAGTCCAGTGAGTCCACAATAATATCATCAAAGCCCTGACTCACCAATAGAAACTCATGCTGTAATCAAAATTTGAAGATAATGGAAAATACTAGTATACATTCATACATACCATAACATTGTTGCCAATTCTTGCATTCTTGTCTATAATAGCCTTCCTTACTTGAGTATCTTCGCCAATTCCCATCCCAGGGATCGCACCCGCCATGCCTTTCCTCTTCCCTTCTGTCTGCGACTCTCACTCTCTCCGTCAATATATAATAACATACAGAGAAAAAAGAAAGACAACGACAAAGGTCAAAGAGATGGATCCTTCCTTAGCCCTTACTTGGTACATAGTTGAACCCATGATAATTGAATCCTCGACTATAGCCCCATTTCCGATTCTCGTCCTCATACCAAGTACTGTGCCTTTGATCCTGCATCCCTACTCTTGTACAAGTCCAAAACGCCCATGCATTCAGTTTTACATCAGTAGAGTATGTACTACTTCTTTGGAGACATCCAATCGACAAAACTTGAAGAAACAATTCAAAATCCTACACGAACAATGCTCTGCTTACATTGAGGATGCAACCATCTCCAATTACACTGTTTGTAATTTCAGAGTCTGTTATTTGAGTTGGAGGCAGATACCGAGGCAATGTGTAGACTGGGCTCTCTCTGTCGTAGAAGCTGCGCTATATATATATGCAACCACCGAGTTTGTGTGTTAGCCAATGACATTGAGGACTGGCGGCTCCAAAATAGTAATAGGGCAGCTTTCAGCCTTTCCTGCACATTACTGTGTGTGTGTGTGTTATATTTTATACGTATGAGCTCGAGTTACTGACTTGTATCCCACATCTGCATCCTTTGTGCTTTGCATATTTGCTTCGTAGAAAGCTTTAATATTCCTCAGGTCCTCCCAATATCCATCAAATGCATAAGCTTGAACCTGAACTCTCACACAAAAAGCACAGGTCTGAAAGTAAAATATCACAAGAGAAAAGTAAATACATATTACACTACGCATGTAGGTATGACCTTCATTCCAATAGATATGGCACCCGGAATTACTTCACTTGTGAAGTCATTTGCCTTGGGAAAATGTTCTTCCAGTAGCCTTTTCATTGCACCTCTGTTGATGAGAAAGATTCCCATACTTGCCATGCTACTTAGAGCAGTATCGTTGGAGTTACTTGAGCTTTTGGCCTGAAATTTCAGATTCATTCTGACTCAGAAAACACCGGAAATCATACCATATGAAGAGACATTTCTGGAAGACAATAGGCTTAAAAAGAATCTGTTGAATAGTACTTACTGAAGCAACATTAAATGGCTTTCCCTCCAACTTCAATCTGAAATCTACAACTTGATTTTGAGAATTCACATTTAGAAAGCCAAATCCCGGATCATGAAGTCTCCTGGCAACAGATACAGCAATTGTAATGTCAGCGTCGTTGTCTCGGTGGGCCTTGATGAGTTTCTGGTAGTCCATTCTGTAGAGATGGTGACCAGGAAGGACCAAAAACTCAGTCATTGGATGCTCTTCCAGCATCCACAGACATCTTCTCACAGCATCAGCAGTTCCCTAATATCAAGTTATTAGAATTTCAAGACTCTGAAGTGTAACTACTGAAGTAAAAAAAGTCAGGGATATATAATCAAAACATGAGAGATTTCAGACCTGAAACCATCCGTTATTGCCAGGGCTCTGATACGCGGCAATGACTTGAACAAAGCCGTCATTCCCAAGACAAACTCCAGAGTAAGCTCTGGAAAGGTGGGAATTGAGAGAAGTAGAGTTAAATTGTGTTAGAGCGTATATATGGCTTATGTTGCTGCTAATGCAGTTGCTCACAACTGAATCAATGAGCCTGTAATTTGCTGCAATAGGTATCGCCCCTTCTGATCTTCTCTTTGTCAGCGGGTAAAGTTGTGACTCGTGTCCATCCCCGAACACAACAGCTGCCACACTCTGACATGAATAAATGTAGATATATGTAATCTAACTGATGCTCATGAACCATCTAACCATATTGTCAAACAAGAATTGATTAAAGATTTTATCCTATACGCAAACTAGCATTTCCTTTAGAGGTAATTAAATCGACTCAGAGTTTATGCTTGATTGGCATGATTTAAGTAGGAATTTAATTAAACCTGATTGGCTGGAGGAAACAACAAAGTTGGAGTCTGAGACTGGTGTGAATTGGATATCAAGAAGCTCGGAGGAAGAGTAGTAGAAGGAAGCTTGAGGGAACGGTTTTCGTGAATACTACCATCTGATGCAGTAACGGGGAACTTTGCTCGGATGCTAACAACGGAGGGAAAACAACGCTGCAAGATAACCATCACGATATACAGATGCAGCAAGACAAGAGTAATGAATGTATGTACAATTGCAAATCTATATTGAAGGAATATTTTGCTTGTCTCCGTCTCCCAAATCCAACTGGTTTAAGACTAAATAGAAAGAATAAGAAGGGGAATATTTGGCTTTCTTCCGTCTCATGGCTATTGAGCAAATCTTGCTTGCATGGCTAGAGCAGGGTTAGAGGCAAGGATTTGGTTTCTGAGCAGCATTGCATAAACGTGATCAGAGTCCTGATTTGAATCAATCATTTTTAATTCTAATGAACAATTTATATATATATATATATATATATATATATATATGTGTGTTTGCGTGTATCACATGAAGGCGTGTATTGTCCATCGTGTTGTGGTGTGTTGTTGTTATGTTTATATACATAACTTTGATTCTAAGCTTCTTCCTTTTCTCCTTAATCTTTTGAATTGTTGTTCTCGTTCTTTCCGACTTCAAAGTTATTCATTTCCTACTTAAACAGCTGCACAAACAAAACCTCTGCTATTTAACAACAGCAGCTTGTCCAATTCTAAGACAAGACGCTACTGCAAATGACGTTCTTACCCTAACTAGTAACGCCCTTTTCAATTACATGGTCCTGGCCAAAAACATATATCTTTTAATAAGGGTAGTTTCGTCACTTTACTGTTGGGCATTTTGGAATGGAGTGGCATCCAAGGCAGGCATTGTTGGCTCTTTCAAATTATGCGTCTTCCCCTTCCCGTCATCTCTCTTAAATTATATGAATTGAAAATGCAAATGCCATATATTTATTATGCGTTTTACAAGTATTTTATAACGTCTTTATGTTAATATTTTTTTGTGCAATCTTTTCTCTGACTCTATCTTTTTTTAGGATTAAGATTTTCTTCCTTCTTTTTTTATTATCTCTTCTTATATTTTTATTTTATCTTTACATTTTTTTTACAAAATTAACATAAAATATTAACAAAACTTAGCTGTGATCATTTAAATAAGAAATGGGGAGAAGGCAGAAAAAAAAAAAAAAGGAATCTACTCTATAAATAGAACCAAATCCCCTAACGAGTGACGACGACGTCCTCTGTAGTCTGTCCTAAAACCCTAACTCCCAAAGAACCCTCCGCTACAATGGCAACCATACTCAAACTTCCAGCCGCCAATTGTACGATTCTTCCTCCTCAGCAACAGAAGCGGGCATTATTGGCTGGAGCTGCAACCACCAGATTGGATGCTGCTACCATCATCACTGCTCGGAGGCAAACACTTTCATTATCATCGTCGTTAGCAGCAGCAGCAGCAGCATAGGTGATGTCAGTTTCAGCCATACCCGATCAAAGCGTTGAGCTTGAGTAGTCGCTCTCCAAGAACAAGATTGACATTCCTGTTAATGCTTTCTAGCACTACCCTTTTCTCAATACCACAACTCTTCTACTCTAAATCAATAGTCTTTCGAGAAATTTCAATCAAATGCCGTCGAACTCCCAGCAGCTGTGATAATTTGTCTTCTTTTTGTCCAAAAGGTAAATGGATGTAGTGGCAAGATGGGGAAGGCTATCATCCAAGCAGCAAATTCTGCAGGACTCACTGTGGTTCCAGTTTCTTTTGGCTCTGCTGAGGAATCTGGCCAAACCGTCCAAGTCGGTACGAACGAGATTCTAGTGCATGGTCCTCATGAAAGATCCCTTTTCCAGAAATATCCCAATTTGATTGTCGTCGACTTCACTGTCCCGTCTGCAGTCAATAGTGAGTACTACCGTTGGTTTGGAACTCTATTTTGACCTTCTTCTACTTCAAAAAACTTTTCCTTTCCATTGTTGCTGCAAATAGTGTAGGTGATTCTGCGTCTTGATTCTCTTGGGTTTATTTTTATTTTTATTTTTGTTCTGTCATATCCAGATAACGCAGAGCTGTATTGCAAAGTTGGAGTGCCCTTTGTGATGGGAACACTGCCAAGGCTGTTATTTCTTGCTTCCAGAAGTTGGGGGTGTCCTTTGATGTGGAACAGGTATATTAAATGATACATGTTAATTATAGCTTTGGATAATTAGAAATGGTAAACCGTAGCAGCTCCTTTTCATTTTACCTGATCTGGTAAATTCTATATTGAAAAAGTGAAACTCCATATTAGTTTATGTTTCAAATTTGCCTAGTTGCGAGGAAAGTAGATTATTCTTTTCTTGTGTTACATACCATTAAGGTTAAGAAAGTGTGGCCAGTCCCCATACATGATGTCACATCCGGGTTCGGGCCCCCACCACATCCTGGGCCTGACTCTATTGTAGCACGATATTGTCTGCTTTGGGTCCTGACCAGGCCCTCACGGTTTTGTTTTTGGGAACTCACATGAGAACTTCCCCAGTGGGTCACCCATCATGGGATTGCTCTCGCCCGAACTCACTTAACTTCGGGTTCCATTTTAGGAACTCACACAAGAACTTCTCAGTAGATCACCCATCCTGGGATTGCTCTTACGCGAACTCGCTTAACTTCGGGTTCCCGAAGCTAGTGAGCTCCCAAAAGGCCTCGTGCTAGTTAGAGATGAGAATATACATATAAATCTTATATGTACCCATTAGGGCCATTACCATTAACTTGATACTCCAGTTTTGCCGATAAATTATAAGGTTCAACTGAAAATAAAACCAACACCGAACCGATCACCAACATAACAGAGAAGCTATGCAAGTCTTGGAAATTGAAGTGTATGGTAATTGCGTGACATTATTTTGTTCAATTTAATGCTTAAAAATAGATAAGATGCTCGTTTGCTTGATAAGTATCTGCCATAAAAAATGCCCACCCCGAATCGCTTGAAAAAATTGAGTTCATCTTTTTGTTGTTTTGGACTCGTTAGCAGCCTCACATCGCTAGATTTGTGGCCCAACAGGCCGTAGCTCGAAATAGATAAGTCCAACAAACTCCGTAATTTTGTTTCAATAATAATTAAAAAAAAACTCTTAAATAGGACGTGGACTACCAAAAAAGAAAATAAAAAAGAAGTGCTCTCCCCGCGGAGCACTTCTAATCTCCTTTTTCTGTTCAAGTGTCTGATAAGATAAATAATAATGGTTTGGATTTGGACAAATGAGTTTGTTTTGTCCTGAGTATTGGGTTGAACTATGGAAATAGATTAGAAGTAGTTTCTAATTAGTTAAGGCAATCAATCATATAACTAGCTCCATTAAGAAAAAAAATATTATTCTGAATAGAAAAACGTGGGTTGTGCAGCTCATTTCCAGGGAGGAAGCAAGGAAAAGGTTTGGAGAAGTTGTCCCAGCATTGGCAAATTTGCTCTTGCGGTTGCCCTCCCTGTTAGAAGACCACTATCAAAATGCGGATGACCTTATTATGGACACAAAACTGGCCTTCGTCGACTGGATTAACAACCAGGAATCGTGGTCCTCAGCCAGGTATCTATAAGACTATATCTTCATTGTTGCTTGCACTTCATGAATATTATGTAGGCTTTTTATCTGAAGAACCATTGTAAACACGAAATTTTCCTGAAACAAACGAGACAAGAACACGTGTACAAAATAATATTTATATTAATGATTTAGGGGTTACAATCTCTCTCAAATTTGATCATCTGATTCGATCTGCGTAAGGTGTTGATTTGTGGATGTGCGATTTATCCAAGGGCCGTCGAAGCTTGATCTTGGATTAACGGTTGAAAGTTTTCTTCAAGGCCGTTGGGGCCTAATCTTGAAGGTTGAGGGAAGTTTCTTCAAGAGCCCTTTGGGCTTGATCTTAAAGGTTGATGGATGAACGAATCTTCAAGGCTTTTGGGCTCGATCTTGAAGAACTGTTGATGAACGGATATTCAAGGGCCTTTGGGGCTTGATCTTGATGAACAGTTGATGAATGGATCTTCAAGGGCTTTTGGGCTTTATCTTGAAGAACGGTTGGATATGTGGATTTGTTGATGTTGTTGATCCAAATGGCCGTTGGGGCTTGATCTTAGGATGAACGAATGATGAACGATGAACGCTTTCTTCAAGGGCCGTCGGAGCTTGATCTTGAATTGGTGGAAGTTCCTTCAAAGGGCCGTTGGGGCTTGATCTTGAAGGTTGGGTTGACGAAGAACGAAGAGAGCTTTCTTGATCCTTCGGGATTTGCTTGGAGTTTTGGAGTTTCAAAGCTTTCAAGGTTTTGGTGTGAGGTGAATTGGTTATGAATTCCCCCTCCAAATGAATGCATTGGATTCCTATTTATAGAATTTTCCAAGGCCTAATTTTGAATATAATATGCAGATGAAATAAATCGTTTCTGTCAGGTGTTGACATGTGTCATATTTGATAACTTTTCTGATTTATTTTGATTTTTCGTTTAGTCACACGCTACGTGTAAAATTTATGTGACACGTGAGCGTTGAAATTGTAACTATTGGTCAACATTTATTTCACCGAAATTTTGATGTCTACCACCATAAAGGCTCACATCCCATGGGGAAGATCATGCTGAAGATTTCATTCTGTCTTTGCTTTGTTAAAACTTCCTTAGTTGCGGTATTACTTTTCTGATTATTGTCCATGTTGCTTTTCAGGAACTAATTAGTGCTCTTCTTGGGTGCTCTTTATTTTGTCTGTTCCCCACCAATAAACGAGGTGCCAAACATCTCCCAACCACCAACTTCGACCATTTGTTTACGTATGTCGTTTTGATTTCTTATGTGGCACTTGTTTCTTCTAGACTTATAGTTTACTTCTACTACACATAGAGTTGTAGTAAATACACTTACCTCCTCGAATGTACTTTCAGGACTTTATATGACGGTTATAATGAACAACAAGAGAATAAGATAAGGTGCATTATACACCACTTTGAAGGGATAAGTTTCCATATGCCTCGGGGTTTTGTCTCATTTGAACGGAAAGTTCTTCCTCTGAAACCTGATCCTTTAAGCATTTCTTACCCCAAGGCTAGTTTTTGGAGCAATTCAGGAAGTCGACTTTGCAAATAAGTATATAGGAGGTGGTGATCTTCGCACGGGCTGTGTACAGGTCTGATTTGTGACTCTTTGTATGTTTCACGTAAGTGTGCGTGCCAGCTCTTTTAGACTATCTTTTTATATGTTTGACCTTTTCTTGGATCATGCAGGCCATGATCTAGTTGCAGAAGCACCTAATTTTTATTTGTTTTTATCATCTCACATAGGAAGAGATTTGTTTCTTGATCAATCCTGAATTAATTGCTAGCATGCTGTTCATGCCTTCCATGGAAGATAATGAGGCTACAGAAATTATTGGTGCAGAAAGGTTTTCAAATTATACAGGGTGAGGATTGATAACATATTGTTTGCTTATTTGTTTCTGTTAGACAGTAGTCACAGATATTTTGTTTAGAAAAACATTTGTTGTTCATACATACGTATGACTTTAATTTGGTTCTGCTTTCCAATTGTCATCAAATTTTTTAAGTGGTGTATGATGCCCGATAAGTTACAAATATGTACATATACATGAGTCAAAATAAACAAACAAGAGGGAGCCTTCACAAATATTGTTTAGGAGAAGTCTCAGCAGTCGGTAGAGCCCCAGAAAGAGAAGGCATCGGAGGGGGATCATTCGGAGCCTCAGTACTGGACAGAACCCTAGAAGGAGGAGGCATCAGAGGTTGATCATTTGGAGCTTCATTACGCGGTACAGCCCCAGAAGACGAAGGCAATAAATGCCTTTGGAACAAACCCACAAATCTCTGATGATCAAGTAAAACCTGACCATCAGATTCCTTCATCGTGTCAAGCTTCCTCTTCATGTTTGTAGCATAGTCATGTGCGAGCCGGTGCAACTGTTTATTCTCATGCTTGAGCCCTCTAATCCCTGTTTGAGACTCATCACTTCAGCCGCCAATGATTCAACTTGGCGGGTTCGAGCAAATAGGCGTTGGGCCATATTAGACACAGAACCTGCACACTGAACACTGAGAGCCAGAGAATCCTTAACAGCCAACTCATCAGACCGTTTGGAAAGTAGTCTGTTATCTTTGGGAGTGAGAAGGTTCCTGGCCACCACTGCAGCGGTCATATCATTCTTCATCACGGAATCCCCAACGGTAAGAGGACCAGTAGGGGAGACGAAGGATGGGCGCCATATGTTGTCTAGAGAAGGCGGGGCTGCCTCTTCAACAAGGTTCAAGTCAAAACGACGGTCGGAGGGGCCAGACATTTTCAAAGGTGTTGAAGAGAGAAGAGGTCGGACAAATCAAGATCTTAGAAGTGCAAGAATGGAGCTTCTACTGGTGGAGATTCAAGTGTGATTTGGAACTTAATGCCAGCCCCTATAAAAATCTGCACTCGACGAAGCTTCAAAAATCGAAAAGGCGCCTGCTCAGAAATCGAAGAGGCGTTTGCTTTCTCAAAAGCTGGGCTGCTCAAAGACCACGAAGGCCGATCTCAGAAATCGAAGAGGCTTGCTTTCTCAAAAGCTGGGCTGCTCAGAGACCACGAGGGCCGATCTCAGAAATTGAAGAGGCACATGCTTTTCCAGCCTTGTCAGCACCTGTCACACGCACACTCAGCTTTGCGGAAATTATGGGCATTCTGTCGAAGATTTCTGGTGAAGTAGAAAGCACATGAATCGTACTGTTCAATCACCCATTTCCCACACGCAACAGTAGCTCATGGGTACCACAGATAACTTTGCCAAAGTTATCTGACAAAGTTGAGACACGTGAAGCTTGCAGCTCCCACTACATCGCTCTGACCAATAAGGGTAAAAGAATAGCAAAGAAACAACACTAACAAAGTTTAGACGCATAAATTTTGAAGGTCTAGCTACCATATTATTACCCACAAGGGTAAAGGAACAGTACCACTGCTGGATAATTGGAAGGTCCCAGTGTGTCAAGGTAGACCAGCAAACCTGCCCAACCTTTACTCACATTCGAGAAAACACTCCCAACAAGATTGCTTGCTCCAAAATCGAAGAGGCACCGCCTTCTGAATCTCGAGAGCCAGACTCCTAACATGATTACTTTCTCAAAAATCGAAGAGAGGGTAAAGGAACAGTACCATTGCTGGATAATTGGAAAGGTCAACCTCTGTGCTTCGTGGCAAGGTAGACTAGCAAACATGCCCAACCTTTACTCACATTCGAGAAAACACTCCCAACAAGATTGCTTGCTCCAAAATCGAAGAGGCATTGCCCTTCGAATCTCGAGAGCCAGACTCCCAACATGATTACTTTCTCAAAAATCGGGTAAAGGAACAGTACCACTGCTGGATAATTGGAAAGTCCCTGTGTGTCAACCTCTGTGCTTCGTGGCAATGTAGACTAGCAAACATGCCCAACCTTTACTCACATTCGAGAAAACACTCCCAACAAGATTGCTTGCTCCAAAATCGAAGAGGCACCGCCCTCCGAATCTCGAGAACCAGACTCCCAACATGATTACTTTCTCAAAAATCGAAGAGACACCGCTCTCCGAATCTCGAGAGCCAGACCCCCAGCAGGATTGCTTTCTCAAAAATCGAAGAGGCATCGTTCTCCGAATCTCGAGAGCCAGATCCCCGACAGGATTGCTTGTTCGAAAACCGAAGAGGCACCACTTTCCCAACTTCAAGAGCTGGATCTCCTTGGATAAAGCTTGTTTGTAATCTTCACACGCAACATCAGCTTTCCAGATACCATAGACCACTTTTTCAAAGTGCTCTGACAGAGTTAAAACATGTGAAGCTGGCAGCTCCTACTACCGTGCTATGACCAAGCAGGGTAAAGGAATAACATTATTACTTGATGTCAGGGAGACTCCTATATATGTCGACCTCCATCCCCAACGGACAGGCAGACCTGCAAAAATGCTCAACCCTTCCTCTTATCTGAGAGGGCACTCCCAACGAAGCCTTTCGAAATATTCAGCTTTCTTTCCCCCCGATAATACCTCTGCAAACAAGCTATACTAGAGCAAGAATATCTCATATCATCAGGGTTAAAAGCAAGAGTATCCCATATCATGCTTTTTCCCTGTCTTTTCCTTTGGCCTTGTTCTTACTTGCAAGACAAGGAGAAAGAGAGCAATCAGTCAGCAATTGGAATCAAGCTTCCAGCCAGGAACTGACTGCCTGGAACCCCTTACCTGAGTACTTACCTGGCATTGCTCTCGAGTACTCATCTTCAACATCTTATGCTTCCAGGGAAGATACCGCATCTGCCTGAGGAACAGATAGGGCAAGTGAGAAGGATACAAAGAAGCATGTGGAGACAAGCGTAACAGCACACGTGCCGATACATCCACTACTCTGTCAAAAGCAAAAGTATCCCATATCAGTAGGGTCGAACGTACTCTAGATTTGATGGACTTGTTTTGACCCTCAAATTCTTCAGTCGGCCTTATACTCTGGAGAAAACCAGAAAACCCTCCAGCCTAGTTCAAGAATAAGCCTGTGGAAAGTTACTTCTTCAAAAGCAAAAGTATCACATATCATCTCTTCTCATTTTTCTTCTCTTTATCCTTCATGTTGCCTGCAAGATAGGGAGAATGTGAACAATCAGCCGGAGCTCTGATTGCTTACCTTGTCTGTCACCTCTTTCAGCAGATCCCCTAGCTCGGCGACTTGGGGGACTCCTACTACATGGTTTGTATCGCGCTTGACCAAGCCTGAAACTACAAGTAAGCTTCAAGTGAAATTGATACATTACCTTGTGCATCTCCACCAGTTAAAGATACCATCCCTGGATGGAGGAAGAGTACTTCCAGAGAAGATGCCATATCTACCTATGAGACAGATAAGACAAGTCAAGACGATACCACACTCCGGTACTTAGAAGTTTCGTGATTACGAGATCATTCTCCTACAATATTTCCTAATGTCATTTGTATTAAATCATTCACTTATACTCACTAAAGGAGAGCTTGAACCTATGTACTTGTGTAAACCCTTCACAATTAATGAGAACTCCTCTATTCCATGGACGTAGCCAATCTGGGTGAACCACGTACATCTTGTGTTTGCTTTCCTATCTCTATCCATTTATATACTTATCCACACTAATGACCAGAGCAATCTAGCGAAGATCACAAAAAGCGACCGTTTTCGCTACCTAGGATCTATCTTGCAAGAGAACGGAGAATTAGATGGAGATCTCAACCATAGAATACAAGTTGGATGGATGAAGTGTAAGAGTGCATCCGGCGTGTTGTGTGACCGTCGTAGGCCACTGAAGCTCAAGGGAAAATTTTATAGGACGGCAATAAGGCCAGCGATGTTGTATGTCACAGAATGTTGGGCGGTGAAGCATCAACACGTACACAAAATGGGTGTAGCGGAGATGAGGATGCTTCGTGGGATGTGTGGGCACACGAGAAATGATAAGATTGGGAATGAGGATATCCGAGGTAAAGTAGGAGTAGTCGAAATTGAAGGAAATATGAGAGAAAATCAGTTCCGGTGGTTTGGGCAAGTGCAAAGAAGGCCTACTGACGCTCTGGTTCGAAAATGTGACTACGGGACAGAGGTTCAGGGCCGAAGGGGTAGAGGAAGACCTAGGAAAACTTTGGAAGAGACCCTAAGAAAAGACTTGAGTACTTGTATCTAACGGAGGACATGACACAAAACCGAGCGCAATGGCGTTCTAGGATTCATATAGCCGACCCCACTTAGTGGGAAAAGGCTTTGTTGTTGTTGTTGGTGGTGTAGGTATGCTGCTTCTTTTCGTTTTGCTGGTGACTATGTGGGCACAAGTGATACTGACTCTCTTAGAAGACGTAAAACCCGAATTACTGCAATAGATGCATTATGCTGTCCTGGATGAGACAATATAAACAAAAGTTCCTCCTCCGGTATGTATATTTTAGTTAACCACAGACAGATTATTTGAATCATATGGAATAGTCATGCTTCCAGAATAGAAACCCATAATATACCTAGCCAAAGGATTTTACATTGTTTAATGCTAATTTGGTCCCTGCAACTTTGAGGAAGGCTTCAAGCATTCCAAATTACTTTTATTAAATTACTCTTCACAGTAAAATCGTTCGGTATATTAGCTTAAATCCAACCTGCAGATGATAATCATGCAGCTGAAATTGAAGAGGAAGATGAAATTGAAGAAATGAAGAACTTGCTATTTTAGTAGTAGCCGTTAGTCTTTAAATTGTAACGGCTAGTTTACTTTCTGTTTTTAGCAAGGTTCTAAAAAACGCTAAGCGCTAGTCGGGCGGCGGGCTAGGTAAATTTCTTGAATATCTTGTAAATAAGGGCATATTGACACCTAAAAAAAAACTATACTTGTATGGATAATAAAATAATGATAAAATGCAAATTAGGTACACTATTTCCATAAGTATTGGATGAACTTGTAGTAAATCCATTATTTGCAAATTAGATACACCATTTCCATAAGTATACCACCATGAAACCAAAAAAGAAAAAAGCACGCAATTAATAAAAAAAAAAAAAAAAAACCTCCTAGGACCGCCTAGGACCGTCTAGGGCCGCCTAGGACCGCCTAGCCCGCCTAACCCGCCTAGACCGCCTAGGCGCCGCCTAGGCCCAACCCGATTTTTCCTCCCGATTTGCCCAAAAACGCCTCGGTTGCTAGGCGCCCAGCGCCTAGGCGGCCGCCTAGGCCGTTTTTTAGAACACTGGTTTTTAGCAAGTATCACAGCTGGTATTCCTATCCTTTGGAATCGTAATATGTCCCTGGATCCATTCCCAAGTGGAAGGATTGTAGCCTCCGACGGCCTAAAATTTAAGCATTGTTTATCAATATGTCTCCCGTATTAAAACTCCATATTTAGTCATACACCACAAATGCCTTGTAATGGAAATGTTATATATTTTGCTATGAGTAGCAATCACATGGACACACACACTTATGTGTACCTTCTTATTTTGAATTGTGCCAACTTTGACTTCAGGCTCTTTTAAAACAAAATTCATCACTCGTTGTGAACACCGCAACAACAGAAGGCTTTGTGGTAATGAAAGCGGAAGGCAAACAGTTGGTACGGGTTTGCGCCATTAAACTTGCATTCGGACACACCCACTCTTCGTTTGTTTTTCCTCCAAATACAGTGAGGCATTTTCTTGTACTGTGAGAGACCCAGAAGCGGAATTGGCGATGATTTAGTTTCTTGGGTGCATTAATTGATTTCCAGTCAGCCTCTGCTAAGCTTTCCAGGGAGCTCAATAAACGAAGGCTAACAGTGCCGTGCTTGTCCACCGTGAGGTAAGTTTGTCCACCTGAACATTTGTCCATATAGTTGCTAAACCTGGGGAGCACACAACGAAAAAGAGCATATGCAAGGCGAGGATATTATTGGACTTTTCACTCATAATGAAGTGTCTGTCATCTATTTATCTTTACAGTAAAATCGTTCGGTATATTACAACCCGAGATCAAACAGAGGAAAATGCTAACAGGTTAAAGGCCTGTATTTGTTTTATTTATTTATATGTTTGGCCTTAATTTCAGAGAACAAATTAAGCATAAAAATAGGATCACCTGTGAAAACCGGAAGCAGAACCAGAAGTAGATTTCCAGCCATAATAAGCATTTAGATTTGGCGATTGGCCACCTTTGATATCTGGCACTGAGTAAACTCCTCTGTCATTCAAATCCACAAAGTCAGACTGTAAAGCACCAGCAATAAGAGTGTCATCAAATGCAGTCAGATGGGGGTAGGCTTCGCTTGGAGGGCATTTACTTGACTCACATTTCAAGCACTGGCTGCAAAGTCGCTTACTCTTCAATTCTTGGTCATCATTTGATGCATATGCACTAGTCATTACCAGGACAAGTAGGCACAGAGAAAGGCAATGCCAATACCTATCCATGCTTGTAGCCATAGCTTCTCTACCTTGCCGCTCTCTCTCTCTCTCTCTCTCTCTCTCTCTCTCTCTCTCTCTCTCTCTCTCTCTCTCTCTCTCTCTCTCTCTCTCTCTCTATATATATATATGTATATATATATATTGTTGGTAATCCTAACAAGACAATTACATTGTTATATATAACAAAACATTTTTCTTGTTCTTGATGTTATCAGATTCCTTTGTTTTGTTTCCAATTAGATTTATGGAATTTAACTTGCGGATTCTCTATTGGCTTTTAAGTAGAAGAATATAAGACTTAGCTGGTAATAGGCTGGCCTTCTTTCTTAGTGGAGTTGTGGAAACTGGACATGAAGAAGTTTTGTATGCACTTTCATTTTCTCCCAAAAGAAAAAAAAGGCATAAATTCTGATCTTATGACTGTACTAGGTATATACTAGGGCGGCTGATGATGGCAATTGCAGGCTGTTGAGGACTCCTGATCAATTACTTTATGGAGAGAGCATAAGCTGTTAACATTGTTTGACATTTTTGTTTTCCGATAACACCGATGTTTCATTTAGGCCGTCCAAATTCTACAATAAATGTCGTTGGACGTAATTGGCCATAACAAAAAATTGGATAAATGCAGTACCATTTTCTTTTTTCTTT